ATAAAATCAACTTCCTCTTAAAAAATTTTAAAAAAAAATTTTATTATTTTTGTGTGTGTACCGTCAAATCGGATCTGACAGGTACAGGAGGAGATTGCCCCTCCTTCTCCAGCAGAGCATCTGGTGGATTTGAACCGTGTACTTCTGAGATTGCAGTGCACCTTCTTGCCATTAGGCCACCGGAGCTCCCTAAAATCAACCTCTTTTGAGGTTAAAGAAATAAAAAGAAGCCCTGATTTAACTAACATTTATTAAAAGGATATAACCCTCCCCTTTTTTTGGTGTTTTTTGAAATTTTGTTTTGTATTGGTTCACCTACAAAGGTCGTATACCTTGTTTTTCTTTTTGTTTAAACAGTGCATTAGACCTTTCTTAGAAATGCAAACGGAAAACTATTTTTTCTTGTCTAGATTCAAAATGCAGTTTTATAAACCTTTCATATTCCAGAGACACAGTGTAAATACTTTGAAAAGTTAGTGTCAAAATAGAAAGAAAGGTTAGTTTCATATTAATAAAAAATTGATTAAATTGATTAAGGATTCTAAGATATATGAGGCTGAAGTCTGCATTTCTTATTCTTTGCATTTATTATTTTTTCTTATGTGTTGATTTTGACCTTACAAAAACACTGTAAAAGTTGATTTAGCAATGGATTTATAACTGAAGGTACTGTACTTTTGCTCATCATTTCCATATTTGTTGTCTTATTTTAGGTTCGTTTTAAGGATTAACGATACCTTAACTAATTGTTTCTTTGTAAACATTCAGGATTTTATAGGTCAGAGCATACGATAACTTATTATATTTACCATTTTCTACATTTAAAATATAACTGAATAGCTCTTTCTAGTTTAGCTTTTATTTTTAAATTCTTCTCAGTACAGCAATATTTACATAAAAGTAAACAGTAAAAAATATAAAGGCTTATGAGTTATCTGGGAAGAAAAATACCAAATTAAAAAAAAATACCAAATTGTTGCTTATAATTACCATGGAAAGGTATTGTTGGGGATATTGCCTGGCTGACTTAATATTTTTACTTTATATTTTTAGATAGCGGTTTTGTTTTTATGAGTCATTAAATTTATCATTAAATTCTTAATGATACAATTCATTTTACATTGGTCAATGTGTTTTTTGCACTGTTGTTGGAATAAACATAACATTATTATTTGAAGGGGAGCTCTGGTGACCTAGTGGCAAGGAGCTGCAACTACAATCCCAGAGGCCCACGGTTCGAATCCACCAGATGCTTTGCCAGGGAAGGAGGGACAATCCCCTCCTGTACCAGTCAGATCTGATTTGACGGTACACTCACACAAAAATAAAAAATAAAAAAAATTAAAAAACAAAAAACCAAAAAAAACCATTATTATTTGGAAAAAATATTCTATACAAAGAGTGAAATTATTCAGCCATAAAGAAAAAGGAAGTCCTGATATGTGCTATTACATGGATGAATCTTAAACATGCTGAGTAAAATGAAATGTCAGGCACAAAATAACAAATATTTTATGATTCTAACCAATCAGAAATATCTAGAACAGACAATAAAGTAGAAATATACTGGTGATTACTAGGGGCTGACGAGAGAGCCTTGTGGTCAATTATTGCTTAATGTGTTTCTGTTTGGAGTGATTGAAAAGTTTGGAAACAAATAGGGAAGATTGTTGCACAACACTGAATTTCATTAACCACTGAATTTAAATGGTTAAAATGGTAAGTTTCATGTTACATGTATTTTATCACAATGACTTTTTTAAAGAAATTAAAGAGTTTGAGTATGATTATTTCTCAGACTAGACACTGGTCTTTTTTTTCCCCTATAATTATATTTTATTAATTTTCATAAACATTTACAGAGATTTTGGGTTTCCATTCATTCATTGTTGCACTTAGACACTGGTCTTGATGTCAAAAGTAAATTCTCTTTTGGGGAATTAAAAATTTTAAAAATATTTTTTAAAAAATGTAAAAATATTAAAGAGTTACCAAAATAAAAAAAAGAATGTGTTTGAAATATTCCCATCATTGTAACATAATTTGTACTTTGAAATTCCATTTTCAATTTCTATACTTGAATTACAGAAATTATACATTGTTTCTCCATTCACAGACTATATTGAGAGCTTTGTTGTCCTTGTATTATTATGCTTTAAAAACAGATAAAACTCATGTATTTGAATAGGAAAAAGAGTACATTATTTTGTCATCATAGATTGTATTGGGACCTTCCTCTCTGTATTACAGTTACATTGAATGAATACATGTAATTGAAACTCTTGATTTCATATCCTTTAATGGAAGAGTATGTTGATTTCCCATTAATAAGATATATTCGGACCTTTCCTGTTATTATGACTCACAGTGTACTTTGAAAACCTGAAAACCCCCTTTCCCCCGGTACAATCCCTTTTTTCATTCAAATACAAATATGAATTTGAATGAGAGAAATTATTGTTATTCATATAGTATGTAGGAACATTTCCTTTATTTACACAGCAAAATGTACTCAGTATAGAAAGCTCTTGACTTTATGTACATGAATGGGAGAAATGCTACATTTTTCCTCATTCACAGTGTGTAAGGATAATTCCTGTCCCAAAATTGAAGTTTGATAACAGATAAAACTCTTTAAAATTCCTATACTTGATCAGAAGAATCTGTATATTGTTTCTCATTCACAAATCGTTTAGAAAAATTTCTTTCCATATAGTGGAAAAGGAAGTTTGCAACCATGCTTTCTATTAGACTTCATGATAGCTGATAAGAGACTCATATCTAAAATGTATAGAATACTCCAGCACATCAACAAGAAAAAGTAAACAACCCAATTGCCAAATGGGCACAAGATATGAATAGATACTTTACCATAGAAGACATTCAGACAGTAAACAAACACATGAATAAATGTTCAAAATCAATAGCTATCAGATAGATGCAAATAAAAACAACAATGCTATGAGATATTATCTCACCCCAGTAACAATAGCAAAGTTCAACAGAACAGCAAACAATAATTGCTGGCGAGGTTGTGGAGAGATTGAGAATGTAAACTAGTGCAACCACTATGGAAGGCAGTTTGGCACTTTATCAAAAAGTTGGACATAGGTGGCAAGGTTGTGGAGAAACTGAGACCCTTATTCACTGTTGGTGGGAATGTAAAATGGTGCAACCACTGTGGAAGGCAGTTTGGCACTTTATCAAAAAGTTGGACATAGGTGGCAAGGTTGTGGAGAAACTGAGACCCTTATTCACTGTTGGTGGGAATGTAAAATGGTGCAACCACTCTGGAAAGCAGTATGGTGCTTTCTCAAAAAGTGGCAAATAGAAATACCATTTGACCTAGAAATTCCACTACTGGGAATATACTCTAAAGAAACCGTAACTGCCACCCAAGCAGATATATGCACACCCACGTTTATTACTGCATTGTTCACAATAGCAAAGAGATGGAAACAACCTAAGTGCCCATCAACAAATGAATGGATAGAGAAGGGGTGGTATAGTCACACAATATAATACTATGCAGCGTTGAGGAACAGGAATTCATGAAGTATTATACAAAATGGAGGATATTACATTGAGTGAAATATCTCAGTCACAAAAGAACAAATACTTCATAATGCCACTGTTATAAAACAGGACTGACATTGGAGTTAGAGGGAAACTAAGAAAAGAGGGGCTAAAGAATGTGCACTGCATTGAAACAAATGAGGAAGAGAACTGCTTAGAAGAAATACATGATTAAGTATTATTTGCATGACAATAAGAGCTGCTTATTAAAGTGGATGAGGAGGGAGAGTGTTGTATAACAATGAATTATTTTTTTTTCCAAAGAGAAAAGTGAACTGGAGGGAAGGCTGGGCAGGGAGGAAAATGTGCAACAATGAATGAATGGAAATCCATGTTCTCTATAAACTTTCATTAAAATTTCAATTAAAAAAAAGAAAAAAAGTTGGAAATAGAAATACCATTTGACCCAGCAATGCCACTACTGGGAATAACCCCTAATGAAACCAGAGCTGCCATCCAAACAGATATATGCATACTCATGTTTATTGCTGCACTATTTATAATAGCAAAGAGATAGAAGTAACCCAAGTGCCTATCAAACAAATGGATGGAAAAACTATGGTACATTCATACAATGGAATACTATGCAGCACTGAAAAATAATGCATTCATAAAACATTATACAACATAGATGATCCTGGACCACATTATGCTGAGCACAATATCTCAGTCACAAAAGGACAAATACTGCATAGCACCACTGTTATTTTTTTTTATTTTTATTTTTCTTTCTTTCTGTCAAGAAGGCGGTGGTTACTGCAGTTTCAACAACCTGTGCTTAGCGGCACCACTGTTATAAAGTAGGTCTGACATGGGGGATTGGGAGGAGAATAGGATAAGAGTGGATAGATAATGACCATTCCATTGGAACAGATGAAGGAAAGAACTGTCTAAATGGAATATATGATTAGGCGTAATATGTGCGACAAAGCCCAGAATAAGAGGTATATCATTGCTAAGAGGACTTGGGGGAGGGGATGAGGAAGGTAATTGTGCAACAATGAATGAATATTTTTTTAAATGTTTACGTGAACTAGGGGAGGAGGAAGAGAGGGAGGAGGGTAAAATGTGCAACAATGAATGAAGGAAAATCTAACTTCTCTGTATATGTTCATTAAAATCACAGTTTAAATAAATTTTTTTAAATAAATTTTTTAAAAAAGAAACCAAAACTAAAAACAACAACAAAAAAAGTCTTCATGAATTTAAAAGAAAGTATACAACTTTTCTTATTAAAAATTACAAAATTTGATTAAACTCATTATGGAAGAATATAATTTAAAATTAATTATCATCAGGTGAGATACCAAACTTAATTTTTTAGTTATCTATTTGTTAGTCTTGTTTTTAAGTAAGTTACCTTTGTAAAAGGAACTTTAAATACCCTGTGAGTGTGTTAACATCATGCTTCCTTTGTCTTTTAGATGGTGTTATCTGAAAAGGTTAGTCAGCTGATGGAATGGACTAGTAAAAGGCCTGTAATAAGAATGAATGGAGACAAGTTTCGTCGCCTTGTTAAAGCCCCACCAAGAAACTACTCCGTTATAGTCATGTTCACTGCTCTCCAACTTCATAGACAGTGTTTCGTATGCAAGTACGAACTTTAAAATTAAATAACTCATAAGACACTAACCACTTCTCAATTGATAAAAGAACTCAATTAGTTCAATGGGCACATTAATAATTTGTATTACTGCCTTAAGATATCTGTAGTAACATATAATGATGCTGTTTCCCTTTTATGATCAATTTTTTTAAGTGTGTGTGTGTGTGTGTGTACCGTCAAATTGGATCTGACTGGTACAGGAGGAGATTGTCCCTCCTTCTCCAGCAGTGGATTCATACTGCTCACCTTTGGGATTGCAGTACAGCTTCTTGCCACTAGGCCACCAGAGCTCGCCGTTATGATCAATTTTTAATTGTTTGGATTTGTTTTTATTTGCTATCAAGTCATTAATGGAAGATCAGAGAAAGAAACGAAGACTCTTAACAAGATGGAAAGATGGACTGTAAGTGTGGCCTTGAGCATATCAGAGGTCTTGAGGATGGCACAAGAAAAGTCAAGGTTCAGCTCTGTTGTTAATAGAATTGTTGTGAGTTGTAGTTGTCTCAATGGCACCTAACAACAAAAAGCCAGTTATGACTCATTCCATGATTGTGCTTATACAAAACCGATACTTGGACCAGGAAGCAGTCCTCAGAACAGAGCAGGGAAACACTGCATGGTTCAAAATCAAGAAGGGACTATGTCAGGGATATGCATCCTGTCTCCATACCTTTTCAGTCTATATGCAGAAAAGATTATTTGGGAGGCTGGGCTTTATGAGAAGGAATATGTGTTATGCATATGACACAACATTGTTTACTGAAACTGAGGAGGACCTGAAGCACTTGCTTAAGAAGGTCAAGGACTATTGTCTTCAATATGGATTGAAGTTCAGCATCAAGAAAACAAAGATTGTCACCACTGGGCCAATTGGCAGCACCGTGATAAATGGAGAAGAGATTGAGGCTGTTAACAGTGACAGCTTGCTAGGCTCCACAATCAACACTCTTGCCACCAGCAGTCAGGAAATCAAAAGATGAATTGCATTAGGTAAATTTGCTGTCAGGGACCTTACCAGTGTACTAAGAAGCAACAACATCAGTCTAGAGACTAAGGTGTGCCTGATCCAGGCCATGATCTTTGCAATTACTTGCTATATGTCAGAGAGCTGGTTAGTGACTAAGGAGGATAGAAGAAGAATTGATGGCTTTAAGTTGTGGTGCTAGAGAAGAGTCTTGGACATGCTATGGACCATCAAGAAAATATAGATCTGTCTTGGAGAGAATGAATCCAAGTTTCTCCTTGGAAGCTAGGGTTTTGAAGCTCCGTCTTACATGCTTTGGCCATGGAGCCAGGAGGGACCAGTCCTTGGAGAAGGACATCATGCTTGGAAGGGTGTACGGTCAGAGCAGGAGAGGAAGACCCTGGATTAGATGGATTGATGCAGTGACTAGGGCAATGTGGGGTAGGTGTGTCAGAGTCAGTGAGACTGGCTTAAGACAGGGCAGGCTTCAGAGCTGTTGTACATTGGGTCGCTATGAGTTACTGGAGACTCAATTGAACATAACAACAACAACAACAGTAATCTATATGACAAAGTAGAACTGCTTCATAGTGTTTTCTAGGCTCTAAATCCCAGAGTTTCAAACCAGTTCCATCACGGCTGATGAAGTGAAATTGGAACAGACCTAAATTTAATTTTTTTATTTTATTATTTTTTGGTGTGTGTACCGTCAAATCGGATTTGACTGGTACAGGAGGAGATTGCTCCTCCTTCTCCAGCAGAGCATCTGGTGGACTCGAACACCGTAACTCTGGGATTGCAGTGCAGCTTCTTGCCAGTAGGCCACCAGAGCTCCCTAAATTTAAAAATTTTGTGTAATGGAATGGGGGAAATTATGGTCAAAGCCTTAGAATGGGAGACTCAGAAGAGCATAGCTAGATTGGAGTATTAATTGCCAAGATTACTGAAAGCAACACAGTCTGAGAGGCAAAATTGGCTGTCATTTTTTAACCAGGCTCACCATTTCTATATTTATTAGAAATGGTCAAGAAATTTGATTGCTATGCATACTACCCTTGTTTTCTAGCAGATTTCTAGATTTAGGTTTCTAGCAGAGCATTAGCACATAATTCTTTTTATTCTGGTTATCTTTCTGAATCACCTACATATTTTACATTTGGATTTGTTTCCGTTTCGTTTTGTCAGCCATAGCCAAATGGGGATGAATTTGTTCAAAGCTCGAGTAAATATTTGTAAGAGCAATTCACCAGATCTTTTCTCCCACAGAGCCACTGGTGAGTTTGGACTGCTGACCTTAAGTGAGGAAAGCAAAGAGCATGGTTGAAGTATTATGGTATTTTTCATAGAGGAGTTGTTGTTATTATATGTCTCTAAGTTGGAACTGACTCATAACTGTTCCTCCAGCAAGTGCTCAGAGAATATAAATTGCATGGGAGGAGATTTCCCATCTTTCTCTCATGAAGCAGCTGGTGGATTTGAACCACATGCCTTTGGTTTGGCAAGGCAACTCCTTACCACTAAACCACTAGACCTCCTTTTTATGATAGGGATAACTTTAAAAACAAATAATCACCTTTTAAATTGGTATCTAGTTATATAAGCATTTAGAGGAGCTCTGATAAAGTGTTTTCTATTTCTAAGCACTTTCAGCTTTATACTCATGTTTTATTGTTAACAATCTTGGAAGTTAGGTAAAGCAAATAATCCCTCATTTTAAAAGAAATATATTAATAAAAATTTTTTTAAATGAAATATATTTCAAAAACTAACTGGTATACCTAGAACTAGAGATATTTATTAATGGAATGATAGTGAGTAAAACCAATTTGGATTAAAAAGAACAGAACTTTTTTTAAAAGCAAAAATGCACAATTGAAATATATTTTTCTTTTTTCTAGATTATTTTTCTATTTAATGTAACATGGAAATTAGAACATAAACTTTGATAAGACAGTGGCTTATTGGTTTCATTTTATTTTTCTTAGTGCTTTAGGAATACAATTTGATCTTTTCTAAAATAAAAATACTATGAAAAATGGAAAATAGTAGATATTTAAAAGACTAAAATTAAAAAACACTAAAATAGTTTTTCATTTTAAAATGTGTTTTTACTTACATTTTTAGATTATTGTGTATTAGAATGACAATATTAAAGGAAATGAAAAAGTAACCCTGTAAAGGCTGTAGCCCAGGAAAATTTTTTTTCTATTGTGGGTTTTGGTTTTTCCACCCCCCAAAAAAGTGATTTTATTTGATGTACCCAAATCTTAATAAAAAAGAAAAAAAATAACCCTGTAAAGAATTAACTTGCAGGGACCTCTGGTGGCCTAGTGGCAGGAAGCTGCAATGCCATCCCAGAGGTACACAGTTCGAATCCACCAGATGCTCTGCAGGAGAAGGAGGGGCAATCTCCTCCTGTACCAGTCAGATCCAATTTGACGGTACACACACATAAAATAATAATTTTTTTTTAAAAAAAGAATTAACTTACAAGTTCAATTATTTCTCTCAATAGCCATCCTTAACAATTTTACCTTAAGTGGAAATAAGTGGAATTCTTAGTAACTTGACTCCTTAGTATCTTATTTCTACAAACCCAAATTTAAAATTGGCCCAGGTTTTCCTAAAGTCATTCAACAGCTAGAAAATTAAGTAATGGCAATGTCTATAATATAGTATATTTGGTGTTGTTGAAATGAGATACCTGCTTAAGGAAATTAATTACACACATGAAAATTTCTCTTGAAATATAAGTACCAAATGAATTATTTCCATAATAAATACTGTAAATTTCATGAAGGACATAGGAGAGTAGCTTAAGATATACTCTGTACCAATTAAGTAGCAAAGACACCCCATTCCAAATTCGAACCACAGACATAGAGGTTAAGATTTACAACACATATTTTAGAGGAAAATAAATCAATCCATAACAATGGGCACCAGGTACAGAGTATGATGTGGAGTCATATATTTACAACTTTCTGATCTAAATTCACATGTAAACAATATACGAGAGCAACACCCCATCCTCTCCAGGGCCATTTTCACAATCCCTCTCTCACTATAGCACCCAGTCCTCTCCTTTGCCATGATCACACTTTCTTATTCACAAGAGCAGCACCTCATCCTCTTCTGTGCCATCTTCAGACTTTCTGACACATGAGCGGAGCACCCAAACACATGGACTTTGTTTTCCATTATGCCAAAACAATGACAATGTTTGTTAATCCTGTTAGAGGTCCCTACCTTGCTAGTAATTTAAAAAAAATATTTCGCCCCTTGGAAACACTTTTTTATTGCTTGCTTTGATCTATTTTATTTCTGATATACTAGACTACGTGTATAATATGTCTTATGTGGTGTCTTCCCCAATTTGGTTCTATCTAGGCAAGCTGATGAAGAATTCCAGATCCTGGCTAACTCCTGGCGATATTCCAGTGCATTTACCAACAAGATATTTTTTGCTATGGTTGATTTTGATGAGGGCTCTGATGTATTTCAGATGGTAAGATCTTTGGTTTATTCTATTAGTAGGACTAGGTAAAATTTAGACAACCTTTTTTTTGTTGAATGGCCACAAACAGTAAAACAGAACTGGTCCTATGCAAGAGCTGTAGTAGTTGGTAAATGAAAAACTAACACATGAGCTAATTATGAAAAGTAGCTGTCAACACTAAGCCATTTGAATATAAAAACTGAATAGTATCTGTCAAATACTTTTTAAAAGTCACAGCATGAATCTGCCAGTATAGGATCTTTGTGCAATGTTGTAGTCACTTTGAACAGCTTTTTAAAAAGCAGTTACTTATCTTTACTCCCTTGTTTCTTGTCTTAATGGCAAAGCTTCTTCTTATACAAAACTAAGGGAGCTCTGGTGGCATGGTGGTAAGGAGTTGTGCTCCAACTCAAAGCCACACAATTCAAATGCACCAGCTGCTCTACAGGAGAAAGATGGCAGTCTCCTCCCATGTAGGGGTCAGCTATGAGTTGATCCAACTCTATGACACATAACAACAACAAACATGCAATGCTAAACCTTTTCTTGTGTCCTGAATTCTGTATCTCCCTATTTTATCAATTATAATTCTTTGCACCTGTATTTTTAACTTCATTCTCTCTACCAATTTTCCCCCTTCGTGTATAAACACTATGGACTCATTCAATTTTGTCTTTGCATGTAAATACATCTAATTCATATATGGGGAGATCTGGTGTTATACTCCATAGGGAGCTGCACTGTTACTCAAAAGGCAGTGCTTTTTGGTTGTTTGCATCCACCGGTGACCCTAAGGGGAAAAGGTGGGCAATCTACTCTTGTGTGATTTATAGCCTTAGAAAACCCACTGCATGGTCAGCTATGAGTAGGTTTCAGCTTGATGGCTTTGAGTGAGTGTGTGAACTCCTCTATATCTGCATATTTCACTCAGTAGTAATTGTATAAAAATTAAAATATCTAAATAGAAATGATTGCTTTGCATCTTCATAAGGATGATTTCTGGATCCAAGAATTCTTTATGTACAAAATTAAACTTTTCTCCTACCCAGTCTGATCTTTCTGTGTTTTATATCATCACTGACACTTCTTTGCTATCTTTTCTCTTTTTCTACAACATCTACTGTAGCTATTCCTTCTTTCTATTCCAAAACCCTCATCTTTTCTTGTTTGAGCCTTTTAACTAGTCTATTGACCTTCATAAAATATTCTCTCTGTATTTTCTGTAACATTTGTCAGCATTTGTTCTACGATGTATTATTGAGAAGAATTACTTGGGGCTTCGAACCAGTTCTTCCTCGCTCAGTCATGGCTGATGAAACAAAACCAGAATGGACCCAAATTTGAATGTGGATGTACCAGCATGGTAGCTAAAGGAGGAAAAATTGTGAGTCATCACTCTAGTAGTAAACACTTTGAAAACAAGTGCAACATTCGTGTTGCATAGCAACTAAATCTTCATCAACAAAGTTGCAAACATTGATAACTAGCTCAAAGATGACAGCTAGTTGCATTGTTTTGAATATGTGTCATTCTCCCAGTCCTGGCAATAATCAAACTTCTTATAATAGGCTCCTGAAAGGGCTCCCTTTGGAAATGAGAGCTTGCAAAACTGGTACAAGAAAATGTCGATACTTTGACTACTGCCATTGTTTTAATTAACAAAGTCCTTCAGCTCTCATAGTCTTGTGCATCCTGAATTCATGAAAATGTGGCAGTTTAACTTGGTATCTTACAAGCAGAGTAAAATCTCAGATGTTGTACAGTTATTGGTACCATGAAATAAAAGAAAACTGTTTTTAAACTGATTGTTTAAACTATGTGTGATTACTAAGGCTTTATGTAAGCTTGGCTGTCTAGGATGCTCTAGTTTGGCAGTTGGGATGTGGTCCTTTCTTTGACAAGGTCTGACATAGTGTAATTATTCCCTTGATAGGATTTGCTATGAATGACCAGTCAGTTGGGGGGTTTAGTCACTGGGGTTTGGTCTGCATCAAGTGAATGAAGAAGTTTGGCAAATCTGGCCTACTTTTTTGCTCAACTTCAATTCTGCATCTAGCTCATCATCACTTTGGTTCCTTGGACCTCATCTGCCGATCGTGGATTCTTCAATCTTCACAGTTATGCGCCATGGACATGGGACTTTCTGCTTTCTATAAGTGCATGATTTACCTTTCAGATAAATCTCTCACATATACATTTATATATGTATATGTATGTGTGTGTATACACATACACATACATAGGTATGTATATATGTAGCTAACCTTCCAGTGGGTTTTATTTTCTTTTGATTTTTTTTATATTTTATTTTAATAATTTTAATGAACATTTACAGAGACTTTGGATTTCCATTCATTCAATATTGCACTTTTCTCCATGCTCAGCCCTCCCCCACCAGTTCCCTCCTCTCTTTGAAAAGTAAAAGGAAAATTCTTTCTTTCGTATACAGTCCCCCCACACCCCAAATACACTCCACTATGCAACCTTAATTGTGGACTCTTGTGATAACCATAATACCCTATCATACATCGCTTTCCAGTGGGTTTTGAGCTTGCCCATCTTTCTCCCATGGAGCCACTGGTGGATTCAGACCCTCAGAGGTGCCCCCTGTAGTTTAGCAGTACAATTTATAATGTACCTTACAACAACATACCGCCAGTAATATCATCGCTTATGTTGATGGTTCCTGGATAAAAGCAAAGAATACCAGAAAAACGTCTGTCTGTGCTTTCTTGACTGTACAAAGACATTTGATTGTGTAGATCACAACAAATTATAGTTAACACTGATAAGAATGGGAATTTTAGAGCACTTGACTGTGCTTGTGCAAAACCTACACCTAGACCAAGAGGCTGTTGTGTCAACAAAGCAAGGGTATACTGCATGGTTTAAAACTAAAATGATCTTCACCCTGAAACCCACAGCGTCCCTTTTCAGCAGGAAGTAGCTAAGAGAATACGCCATCCCCTTTTCCTTATGACTCAGGGTGAAGTCTCTCTCAGGGAGGAGTGATAGGGAATGGCAAAGGACACACTGACAAAGAAGATTAATCAGAACTGGCTTTGACAAGCACTGTGGCATTTGGACAAGAACAAACTGGGAGGAGGGTAGAGAGAATAGTGCAACAATGAATGAATGGAAGCCCAAAATCTCTGTAAATGTTTATGAAAATTAATAAAATATAATTATAGAAAGAAAAAAAAAACTAAAATGATGTGTATCAGGGTTGTATCCTTCCCCCTACCTACTTAATCTATATGCTGAGAAAAGGCTGGTCTCTATGGAGAAAAATGTTGAGCAGGATTAGAGGAATACTTATTAATAACCTTTGTTATACAGATATCACAACCTTGTTTGCTGAAAGTGAAGAGGACTTGAAGCACTTGCTGCAGAAGGTTAAACACTGCAGTCTTCAATATGGATTGTGCCACAACGTCAAGGAAACAAAACCCTTTGCCACTGGACCAATGGGCAGCATCATTTTGGACTGAAAAAGGATTGAGATTGTTAACCATTTCATCTTACTTGGATGCACCATCAGTACACTTGGTACTGATTCAGGAGACGTATTGCACTGAGAAGGTCTGTAGTCAGGGACCTCTCCAAATTATTGAGGAGTAATGATGTCAATTTGAGGACTAATGTGCACATGATTAGGCCATGGTCTTTTCAATCACTTGGCATGCATCTGAAAGCTGGACAAAGACTAAGTATGACAGAAAAAGAATTGGTATCTTTGACCTGTAGTGTTGGAGAGTATCCCATGGACTGCCAATAAAACCAAACAGATATACCTGAGAGAAGGTGCAACCAGAGTGCTCCTAGGAGGCAAGGATGATAAGGCTTCATCTCACATAGTTTGTACATGTTGCTAGAAAAGATTATTCCTTGGAGTAGGACATCATGCTTGGGAAGGTGGAGAGGCATCAAAGGAGAGGAAGAACCTCAGCCAGGTGGGCTGATACAATGACTGCCACAATGGGCTTGACTGTCAGAGATTGTGAGGATGGCACAGGATAGGACAGTGTTCAGATTGTTTGTGCATAGGGCTGCTATGAGTCATACTTGATGTATTTTACATACCTAACAACAAAATACAGGCCATGGTCTTTGCAATTGCTTGTTATGCATCAGAGAGTTGGACAGTGACTAGGGAGGACAGAAGGAGAGTGGATGCTTTTGAGCCGTGGTGCTGGAGAAGAGTACTGAATGTACCATGGACTGCCATGAAAACAAACAGATTCATCTTGGAGAGGATTAAACCAAGCTACTCCTTGGAGGCAAGGATTCTGGGGCTTCGTCTGACATACTTTGGACATGTTGCCAAGAGGGACGGGTCCTTGGAGAGGGACATCATGCTTGGGAAGGTGGAGGGACAGCGCAAGAGGGGAAGACTCTCTATGAGATGGATTGATTCGGTGACTCGGGTAATTGGGATGGGCGTGTCAGAGGCAGTGCAGTTGGCGCAGGATAGAGCAGGGTTTAGGGCTGTTGTGCATAGGGTCGCTATGAGTCGCAAACGACTCGACGGCACATAACAACAACAACAAAAATACATATTATACTTAATAGGAAATATAGGATGGAGAATGTAATAAATTTGAGAACCTCTTAGTGGAATATTTTGTTCAGATTCCATAGAACATATTTTTTTAAAATAGTAGTTCTAGTCCTCTTCACTTCAACAGCCTTTATTGTAACCACATAACTGCTATTCTCTATTTTAATAAGAATCAAAATAGAAACGCAGAAAAAGATAGGTAAGATAAAGAAAAAAAGCCAAAGGTAAAACAAGAACATGAAAGAAATTAGGAGAAAAGACAATGAAATGAAACAAATGAGAATTAAAAAGGGACTTTGGAGGTTGGTGCCTTAGCACCTAATTGTCAGATTTCCACCGCTATGGTGGATGTAACCAAAATATCTGGTCTGGGTTAGTTGTGTCTATAGGTTCAGTGGAATGTTAGGAGGAGATCCTTAGTCAGAGATTCAGCTCATATGAAAGGTGA